GGGCTCTTTTGATCACTGAAAACAATCTTGGACACCTGAGATAATTAGATTGCCAGGTGAGCCCAATTTAAGAAAAAACTACTAAAGGAGGGTGTTCCACATTATTAAGCAGATCACCATTTTCGTGCAATATGGGGAACAAAAAGGATCTCTCTGCTGCCGAAAAGAGTGAAATAGTTCAATGCCTTGGACGAGGTATGAAAACATTAGATATTTCACGAAAACTTAAGCGTGATCATCGCACCATTAAGAGATTTGTGGCTAATTCAGAGCACAGACGGGTTCGTGCAGATAAAGGCACATTGAGTAAGATTTCTGCCAGATCCATGTATCAGATCAAAAGAGCAGCTGCCAAAATACCATTACATAGCAGCAAACAGATATTTGAAGCTGCTGGTGCCTCTGGAGTTCCACGGACATCAAGGTGTAGAGTCCTCCAGAGTCTTGCAACTGTGCATAAACCTTCTATTCGGCCACCACTAACCAATGCTCACAAGGAGAAACGTCTGCATTGGGCAGAAAAATACATGAAGACTAATTTTCAAACAGTCCTTTTCACTGATTAGTGCCGTGCAACCCTGGATGGTCCAGATGGATGGAGTAGTGGACTGTTGGTGGATGGCCACCCTGTTCCAACAAGGCTGCAACGTCAGCAAGGTGGTGGTGGAGTCATGTTTTGGGCCGAAATCATGGGAAGAGAGCTGGTCGGCCCCTTTAGGGTGCCCGAAGGTGTAAAGATGACTTCTGCAAAGTATGTGGAGTTTCTGACTGACCACTTTCTTCCCTGGTACAGAAGGAAGAACTATGCTTTCCGTAATAAAATCATCTTCATGCATGACAATGCACCATCTCATGCTGCAAAGAACACCTCTGCATCAATGGCTGCTATGGGAATAAAAGGAGAGAAACTCTTGGTGTGGCCTCCATCCTCTCCTGACCTCAATCCCATTGAGAACCTTTGGAGCATCCTCAAGCAAAAGATCTATGAGGGTGGAAGGCAGTTTATATCCAAACAGCAGCTCTGGGAGGCTATTCTGACATCTTGCAAACAAATTCAAGCAGAAACTGTCCAAAAACTTACAAGTTTAATGGATGCAAGACTTGTGAAGCTGCTATCAAATAAGGGGTCCTATGTTAAAATGTAACGTGATCTGTTGTTATAAGTTTGATTTGAAATAGATTTTGATTTCAGTAAATATGCTGCAAACACTAAAATGACAATTTTCAGTTCTTTAAAACCTATGAAGTGTTTTGAAACTTACTGTGCGTAATAATTTGGAACAGTGCATTGTAAGTTTTTTTATGTTTTAAAAAAATACTGTTATCATTAGGAGGTTTGTTCAATAAAATTTGAATTGTAATCTTAATAGTTGATAACATGAGAATTATGCTGACTGTTATTTACATCAATTATTTAGGTATATGAGAAAAATATAATTTGCATAATAATTTGGAACAGGGTGTATAAGTCCTGGTATGGCTCAGCCAACCAATACACACTAAAGCCAAACCACGTCCTCAAACTTATAAAATCAAGGTCTGCCCAAGGCACAATGCCCTGTTGTGGTTCTTAGAGTTTCTAGTGTCCCAATAGCGGGTTCTTTTGTCACTTTAGTGTATTTTTAGTATTGACCCGGCTTTCTCTTGACCACTCTGTTTTGTGGTTCCCCTGACCTGGCTCTGTCTCTCGTATTTGTGTATTTCTGGCTTCCCTTGACCTTGGCTTGTTCTGACGTTCCTTGTATTTATTCTATCCGGCCATTTTAAGTACTGGTTTAGGGACCAATTATTGGCATGATCTATACACCCAAACTGCTTCATTAAGCTAAAGTTGTTTTGATGCCTATGGTATCCTTTTAATCTTCTTAACACTAAATGCCATATGTATTAGAACATTAACCGCCCTCTAACCTTAAACCCCCTTTAACCTAAATACTTCTAACATTATCTTTAACCCCTTAAGGGCACATGACATGTGTGACTTGTTATGATTCCTTTTTATTCCAGATGTTTGGTCCTTTAGGGGTTAACTGTGCATTGATTTATACAGATTCAAACACAATACATTGTGTACAGAGTAAAAATATGGACATACATACATTTATACATATGCAGTTATCAAATATGAATATATATTATTATTATTATTATTATTATTATTATTATTATTATTATTTTAGATGTTTTTGGGCCAGTAATAGGGGACACCTTAGAATTGTGTGCCTACAGGCACCAGACATGTAAATTGGGTGCTCTCTAAGGATACTTTAAATGCTTGGTAATCTAACAAAAAGTTAGGACGATTAGCCACAACTCATCAATCACAAAAATACAGTTTTTGCTCGCTGGCGGCCTCTTGTGGCCAACTCACTGAAATGCATTGTGTTATAAGTTTCTACTGGATTGCAATATATAAAGTTCGTAACAGTTGCTGGTTTAATTTAATTAAAGCTGCTTTTTTTATGTTCTATGTCAGTGGTTCCAATCCCTTTTTCACTTGAGTACCCCTTGGCAGCCCATTTCCATAAATTGTACCCCTCCCATTAACAAAATGTTTGTAATTAATATAGTTGCAGTTGGGGGGCGGAGCAAGCAAGGCAACGGAGCGGTCGCACTTCTCGGAGCTCCGACACTAACTCGTGCAATCTAACAGTATAGAGCGAAACCCGAGCCAAAAAAAACAAAAAAAAACCTACCTACGACAGGAGAGGAGATCATGGGCAGGAAAACAAAGAAGGCAAAAGCTGAAAAAAGTCCCCACGGGAGGGATATTGGAGATATGCTCCGGAGCACGCAGCAGGCCGCATGGGCCAAGATGGCGCTGACAGACGAGCTATCCTCATACTCCTCTGAGGATTTTTCCACGGACCTCTTGGAGGGAGCGTCCTCTGGGCACCCGCCGGACCGCAAAATTGATTCACAGATGGCCCGGGATCCGGTCACAGCGGATCAGCTCAAAAAAATGCTGGCAGAACTCCGCAAGGACCTGGCAGCGGATATGGCCTATTACAGAGAGGCTATTGAAGGGGCAGTAACAAAAATCACACGGCTGGAGGCCTGCACTGACACCCACGAGACAAGACTTACAACGGTAGAGCAGCAAATAGCAGATCTAACAAAGCAGCAGACCATCACTACCGACAGACTGGACGCCCTGGAGGATCAGAGGAGACGCCACAACTTGAAAATAAGGGGGATACCCGAGTCAGTTGACCTCGATGACCTTCCCCATTACATTAGGCGTTTCCTAGCATTTGCACCAAAGCAAATTAAGTCCTTGAGACTGGATGGGATGTTTAGACTACCAAAGCCACCACGAGCACCAACGAATGCAACACCAGACCTCATACTGCGCTTCCAAACCCTCTCCGACAAAACCGCACTGCTGACCGTACTGAGAGGGAAAACCCCTATGTCATTTGAGGGAGCCGCACTAACAGTGTTCCCAGATCTCACCAAAAACACTTTAACCTGGCGGAAATCTCTACAGCCTCTCCTACAACACCTACGGGCCAGAGGAATTCCATACAGATGGGGTACACCTCGAGCTGTAGTGTTTACACATAACGGGACTGTATACAAAGCGCAAGACTACCAAGAACTCGAACTACACCTGCAAACAACAGGCATCCTACAAACCGCTACAATACAGAAACAGGGACTATCCCAAATAAACCTGACCGCCATCCGAGACTTCGTCCCAAGGCACAACCCCAGAGCCTCACCTAGCAGCCTGCCTTCCTGAGGAGACGGAGGAAGACCACCCGTGGAGACTCTCCAATGTACTACTCCCACCTTGAGTATACCACACAAGTTAGAGACTACGCCTTGATATGTTGCAAAACCGTTTTGCCCACACACACATGATTGTATTACTGCTACTTGTTCTTTAATCTAACCCGCTCCTACTTTATACACATACACCACAAGCTACTGGCACACTGGTAACAGAAGACCGACACAACCACAATGTCAGACCACATAGTCACACATATTTACAAGGCCATACCCCCTCCCCCCCCCCGGCCGAATCTTGGAAGACTCCGTTAAGTACACTCATAAGATTAGTAGGCTGGAGGTAAACCCCACTGTGGACACCGCCTTCAGACTAACGCACCACTCTACTCATATCCACACGGGGCACAATAACTGCTTTCCACTACTGTTATACCTAATGTTATTTCTAAAAATGTGCAATGTTCCGTGAGGCCACTAATGTACTGCCTGATTGAGATCCAAGCGAGCAACAACTGTTGTGGTGTTGCACTCACCTGTATCATTTCTTTGCACAAAAAAATAAAGAATTAAAAAAATATATATATAGTTGCAGTTATTTCAAATGTATAAGTTTTCTCTGTCCCACATCCCCCTTTTCTCTTCCCTAGGCTCTCCCTGCTTCTCCTCTGCCCCGGACACAAATGGTCACACATGCAGACACACAAACTGTCACGTGCG